CATGCACCCATGCATGGGTACACACAACACATACACTTACACATATACAAGCATATACAACACACATGTGTATGCTCATGCACATGTTCAAACATGCAAAGATACATGTGCACAGCACTCACTCATACACACAAACACACATGAACATGCATAAACACACACATACACCCAAGGGAGCAGTGTAGCTGACTGGGAGTAGATGCAGGCTTTTGAGTTTTCTCACAATGCTCTCTGACTTGAGTGATGTCCTCCTATGATTCAGCAAAGCAGTCATTAGATTTGGGGTGGATTCTGAATCTCTCTTTAAAATTTCAAAATAACAAAATAAGTCCACCAAAATATTTGCCCTTCTATACCTCTCACCTCTCACTCCCCACGTCCAAAACCTGCAGATGTCCATGGTTAAAATAACATACCCACAAACTATGAGGCCAGGGCCACTTCAGGAAGGAGGGGACAGAGAGGGCCGTCTAGGTCCAGAACTCTGTACCCCACGGGGAGATCTGCCCTGTTCCACCTGCCAGTGAACACTGGAGCCCCTGCTCAGAGCAGGTTTGGGGTCTCTGTCACACTCAGATCTTTTCTTCCTTTCCCATCCCTTCTTTCCTTTCTCCTTGCTTCCTTCCTTCTCTCTTTCCTTCCCTCCCACTTTCTTTTTTTCTTTCCTTCCCTTCTTTCCTTTCTCCTTCCTTGCCTCCTTTATTCCTTCTCGCTTTACCTCCCTCTTCCCTCTCTCTCTACTTTCCTTCCTTATTCTCCTTCCTTCCCTTCCCTCCCTCCCCCACTTTCTCTTTCTTTTGGCCAGTACTGGGGCTTGAACTCAGAGCCTAAGTTTTTTTGCTCAAGGCTAGTGCACTTAAGCCATAGCTCCACTTCCAGCCTTTTGGTGGCTAATGGGAGATAAGGAAATAAAAGTCTCATGAGCCATTAACCAGATTCATTATGAACCAGGGTCCTTATTTTCAGTTTCCTGAGTAGCTAGGGTTACAGGGTGTGAGACATTGGTACCTGGCTATTTTCTGACTTTCTTGATACAAACTTTGCCACCCGCCTGTCAAATCAGCCTTATTAATTTCATTATGTAGTTCTTCTGTGTTCTTACTGATTTTCGCTTGGATGATCTGTCAGATCTCCAAACACCACAGTTTCTGCCAGTTCCCCTCTGTATTTCCAACGGGCTGTTCTTACTTCTTTCAGGGAGGTGTAATTTGGAGCAATAATAGCCCATGAGCCTGTCATTCTCACAGAGCTGTGTGCCCTCATCAACAGAAAAATGATTCTCCTTAATCCTGCTGAAAGCCTGCCCCTTCTTCCCCCTTCCACCCCAGCTCTTTGACCTCCTGCAAATGTCAGGATTCCTGACACAGGACAGTCTGTTCTTTGCTCTGCAGGGCACTTTTGAGCCACAGTCCTAGGCCTTTTCCTGTTTGGGTTTATTTTTCGGATACAGTCTCACATGTTTTGTTCAGGGCTGCATTCCAACCTTGATCTTCTTACCTCCACCTCATGCACAGTTAGGATAACGCTGGTATTGCTTGGTGCTAATTCCTTGCTTTTGATTCAACTTCATGTGCCCTGGTTTTCTCCTAGGGGTCCCCTTCTCTGCTACCTTACTGCTATCTTGTTTCTCACTGGATTGATCTCTTTGCCCATTTCCTCCAAATTTGGGAAGAGCATCTCAAGTTTGTCCTCCGTGTTATTGATTTTGATTTTCCTGCACACCGGCTCTGCCCTCTGCTGCCCCCAGTGTACACTCCTGTGCTGCTCCCCAATGTTTAATTCCCTCCTCATCCTCCAACACAACCACACAAATAAAAAACAAACAAACACACAGTGTTGGTTCTCTTCTGAGCTTTCCAGAACATACTGCCTTCTCTCTGTTCCCTAGTGCTTTGTGTATGTGTGGCTCCACTGGTGTTGTCTGTCCAGATTCAGGATTTCATTCACACATACTTAGAAGACTGTGGAACACATGAAGTCAGGTTTCAGCCATTAGGTCTGGAAATAGAACCGACGGACATTGCCAGAGACTTGTGCTTCCCAGATGCTGAAACAACAGGATGAAATGAACAGTCCTGCCAGTGTGGCAGTGGGGTGAACTGTGTTCCTCACAAATAAACACTGAAGTCCCAAACCCCAGGTCTTCAGAATGATGCTATGTGAGAGGAAGGTCCTTGCTGATGTAATTAATTAGCATGAGACTACGCTAGAATGAGGCAGGCTCCCTGAGGAGGATGGTGGGGAAAGGAAGACATGTCACATACATGTCGGTGGGGTCCTGCTTCTGCCAGCTGCAGGCTGATAAAGACTAAGGAAATGAGTGGCAGAGCCCCTGAGCCTCTGTCCTGCCCATACTTTGAGTTCTAGAACAGGAGGAGACTCAATTTCTCTTGTCTTGTCTGTAGCGCTTCGTCACAGAAGTCTCAGGGAGTAAATGTAGACGTCAATCCACGAGATAGGGAACCGCAGTGGAAGAGACAGGTGGGGATGGGAAGAGCAAAGCTTTTAATGGCAGATAGAGCATCAGGGGAGGGAGGCCTCTGTTATGAGGGCACAGGGAGCAGAGGCTCCAAGAAGAGACAGGAAGGGGCCACACAGCTATCTGGGGACCAGGCCTCCATCTGCTTGGCCAACAGAGCATAGCCTTCTTCCTTCTCCAGTCCTGCTTTGGGGCTATTCTTTTCTCAGAGCAATCGGCATGGGCGGGGTTGGGGACAGCTGGGTGGAGGCACCACTGGGCCCTGGGTAGTAATTCCAACTTGTTTCTTCCAATAGGTGCCTTAGGGGTAGTTCCTCCACTGCCTTGATCCTCAGGTCCCCATCTGTAAAATGGGTATAACATTTCCTCCCAGAGGACTTTGAGGAGTCAGTGAACCAGGGACGGTCAAGGGCATGCAGAAGATGGGTTCCTTGGTCCATGACAGAAAAGCTGGATATTTGGGGGTCACCATTTGCATCATGGTTGACCTCAGTCCTCTTCCTCTTGTAGTTGACTGGATGATGAGTGGGATGTCCAGGGTGCTCTGATTTCCTGCGGATTAGCAGCTAGGACCTCTATTCCACATGCAGAGGCCCTGTAAGCCTCCAGAGTTGACCTCTGAGACCAAAACTATCTTAGAGTCCCCACCTTGGGGAGACACCTGTACGTGCCAGGAGAATGTCCAGGCACTACAGCACTTCCCTCCATCCCCAGCCGCACACAGCCCAGCTGGACCTTGTGGCACTGCAGGGCGAGAACCTGGGCAGACCTGGGTCTGACCACCTGGCAGCCTGTGTCGCTGCAGGGGTTCCCAGGATGGATGTGTGACCCCTGGACTCTATCTGCAGGGGTGACAACAACACGTGTATGGGCGTCCCTCCTTGGTCCCATCTCTGGGCCTCAGACTCTCCAGCTGTGAATTGGCAGATTTGGAAAGCACTAGCTGGAGACTGTCCCTCATTGGACTGGCATCAGAAGGGGCACATCAGTAGCTGGCATCTGGGGTCTCTGTGTGTGGGGATGAAGGAGTGGAAGAGAAAGAAAGAACTCCAAGGTGTGCACTGGTGTCTTACGCTTGTAATCCTACCCACTCAGGAGGCTGAAATCTGAGGATCATGATTTAAAGCCAGCCCAGGTAGAAAACTCCATGGGATTCTTATCTCCAGTCTACTCAGAAAAAGCCAGAAATGCTTTAGCACAAAAGCTCAGGAACAGCATCCAGGCTTGGAGTTCAAGCTGTAGGACTGGGCTGGCATGTGCACGTGTGTGTGCACACGCTCACGTGCATTCTCTCTCTCTCTCTCAATAAGGAATGCCACAGCTCTGGCCAAACCTGTACAAGCCTCAAGCTGTTCTCACTGCCCTCAGATAAGAGACCAAACTTCTCCACTCAGCAGTCAAGGCTCCCAGAAATTGGCTTCAAGCTCTGTTTTCCAATCTTGGCTATTGTCCCTGGCACCTCTGTCCTTGACACTGCAGGCTCCATGGAATTCCGATGGCTCCCAGGCTCTTGGAAGCCCCTCCCTGCCTTGGCCTGCAGTCCTGCTTCCCCGAGGGTTCTAGCAGGCTGGGGTCCTACCAGCATCCTGCATGGCTTGGAACCAGTGGCATGTCTTCCTCTGAGCCTGGACTTCACCCTCCCCTCCCCAAGGTGGGAGATGAGTCACTTCCTGTCTGTGTTCCCAGGTCCTTGGTTTCTCCTGAGAGGTGCCTCTCTTTCTGTGCACGAGATCCAGCCTCACCGTGCGTGGAGCCAGGAGAGGGGCTGGCACACAGAAGGAGCTGGGGAGAGTTTGTAGATATAATAGACAATGACAGGTGGAGGTTATTTACAACTAGAGAGTCCCTAGAGTGACTGCCATTTGGTGGGGGTCAGGAGTGTGGGCTTCCAATCCCAAACAGCGGTGCTCTTTGGACTGTGACTGTGAGAATTCCTGGCACTAAGCCCTCCAAAACACAGAGGGGCCAGGTGCCGGTGCTCATGCCTGTAATCTTAGCTGAGATCTGAGGATCATGGGTTGAAGCCAGACCAAGCAAGAAAGTCTGTGAGACTCTTACGTCTGGTTAAGCTGCAAATGGAACAGTGGCTCAAGCTATAAAGCATTTGCTTTGAGCAAAAAAAAAAAGCTCAGGGACAGTGCTTAGGCCCTGAGTTCAAGCTCCAGTAACACACACACACACACACACACACACACACACACACACACACACACACACACACACACACACACACACACACACACGAGAACAAAGACAATTATACCAGAGTTATACCAGCTCAGGCCCTGCCGCAGCTCTGAGGAGCAGTGCGCTTGCCAATCGGCCCCTTGGCCAGTGCGGGATAGCAAGCCATGGGGCACCTAAAGAAGCCACCTCCTGGGTGCTTCCCCAAATCTGCGATGCCAAGGTTGGAATGCACTTGAGGCCCAGAGAGAACATGAGGCTCTTTCCCAGCGAGGGCTGTGGGGTAACCAAAAGGCTAGATCAGTGTGTTTCTGGGGCCAAGGCCAGTTGCACCTACCTTCAGCTTTTTGACACTGGTGCAGGGATCATTGGAGAAGCTCTCGGTGTCTGAAATCTCGATGTCCTCCCCATACAGAACCCCAGTCAGGTCATTCCTCACCTGGGAGTAAAGAAAAAGCATAGGGTGGGTGTGCTGGCAACCGTGAGGGGAGCAGTTCACGTCACTCTGAGGAGGCGGCTGCAGTGGGTGGAGCAGTTTCCCCCACTGACAGCGTGACAGGGATGGCCCTGTGTGCATGAGGGTTGCAAACTACTGGGTCATCAGTCAGCTAGTGTGTGATGCAGCCAACGTGGAAGGACATTAGGGAAGAGAGGGGATAGTGGCATTCTTTGCTCAAGGGAGCAGGTGCTCCTCAGTTGCTGGGTTACAACATGGTCCAGGGTCACTCCCTTTGGGGGAGGGGAAGAAATCAGAATCTAGACTTGTACAATATAAAATCTCCCACATTTTTGAGTACTGGTACTATTTTTGAGCTTTTTAAAGTTAGAATAAAATATGAAGTGTATATCTGGCTCTCAGCAAAGGCTGGGGACCTCTGACACACAGCAGTAGAAACTGGGCTATGTGTTTTACTAGAAAGGATTAGGTGAGGGGGTGGGATTGTCAAAGGAGGCAGTCCCAGGTCCTGGTTGGTCACTGGCTGACTGAAACCATCCCCCTCCCCCCCCCCATGTAGCCTCCCCCTCTCTCAATTTCTTCTTCCTGTTTAAGGGAAAGTGGTCCTTAAATGCTCTCCTGTCCACCCCCATTGGGATGGCAATTGTCAAAAAACAGAAAAATCAAGTGTTCATAAGGATGGGGAGAAATTGGAGGGCATCCTTGTGAACTCTCCCTGAGAGTGTGTAAGAGTTCAACCTCAGGAAACCAAAGTGGTAGCTCCTCAAAACATAAAAATAGACTATTATCTAATACAGCAATTCCACGCCTGTGATTACGTGTCAGAAGAAAAGAAAGTGGAGACCTGAACGATATTGAACACCCATGTTCACAGCAGTATCACACACAACAGCCAAAAGGTAGAAGCCACTCAGATGCCCGCTGACAAGTAAACAAACTGTGGTAGACACCCAGTGGCGTATTACTCAGCTTTGAAAAGGAATGAACTTCTGTTCCATGCCACAACATGGGTGAATGTAGGAAAGACATGTATGCTGGTTATCTGAAGCTCCAGAAGCAGTCAGGTCCACAGAGACAGAAAATGGAATGATGACCACAAGGGGAGGGGACACAAGGTGGGGAACTGCATTGGATGGATAATGGAGTTTCCATTTGCAATGATGAAGTGGCTCTGGGGATAGCTGAGCACTAGTGGCTCATGCCTGTAATCCTAGATACTCAGGAGGTTGAAATCTGAGGATCGTGGTTCAAAGCCAGACTAAGCAGAAATTGTCCACAAGACTCTTATCTCCAATTAACTACTAGAAAACCAGATGTGGCACTGTGGCTCAAGTGGCAGAACACCAGACTTGAGTGAAAAAGTTAAGAGACAGCACCATGGCCCAGAGTCCAAGCCCAATGTTGGCACAAAACAAAACAAAACCAAAAACATATAAACAAAAAACAGCAAAAGTTTTTGGAGATGGATGGGTGACAGTTACCTAAAGAGGTGAACACACTTAGCTGAGCTGCATACTTACAAATAGTCGGTGGGAAAGTTTACATTATGTATATTTTACCACAATTAAAACAAAAGCAATTCTCATGTCAACAATCAGCAGATCCTTCCAATGCTTCTATCAAAGTGTATTGAATAATCTGGTCTTAAATGTCTTTGGAAAGCCACCCATCATGGAAGGGGAAGACAGGAGACAGGGACAGAGCTGCTGTATTTAATTTCTTTCATTTTGTGTGAGTGCTAGTTCTGGAGACGGAACTCAGGAGCTGTCCCTGAGCTTTGGTGCTCAAGGGTAGCACTCTACCACTTGAGCCACAGCTCCACTTCTGGCTTTTTGGTGGTTAATTGGAGATAGGAGTCTCCAGGACTTTCTGTGCCAGTTGGTTTTGAACCATGATCCTCAGAACTCAGCCTCTTGAGTAACTAGGATTATAGGTATAGGCCACCAACTGCACCCAGCTCATATTTTATTTCTTTATAAAAAAGAAAGGAAGAAAGAAAGAAAGAAGAAAAGAAAGAAAGGAAGGAAAAGGAAGTAAATAGAGGAAATGGGAACATTTGTTAACGCTGGCCTGCGGGTCCTTGGGTGTTTACTTGATTCTGAGCTTTTCTGAATGCTTGCAATACTTTGTAATAAATGTTTTGGTAGAAGAAAGGAAGGGCTGCAGTCAGGGTGAGCCCTGTCCATCTGCGGAGCCTTAGCAGTTTGGATGCAAGCTTGAGAGCTGGTGGACTGCAAAGTGTTGCTTTCGCCACTCAAGCTTATTTCTGCTGCCTCCATCCCTGTTGGCTGCAGTGGAGTCTGGCCATTTGTTTGTGTGCCCTGGGGCGAGGGGGGCAAATCGCAGCAGGGATTCAACATGGAGCATGCGCATAGGTGCCTAAACTGGAGGGCAACAAGGGGCATGTGTGCAGGAGCCCAGCTGCACTGCTCTGGCTCTACCTGTGTCATGTGCTCACATTTATGGAGAAACAACTCAGCTTCTCTTGAGCCATGGTCTTTCCATCTGAAGAATGGGAGGATGCAGCTGATTCATGGCTCAGGACCGCTACAGGGGAAGTGGAACAGCTTTGTAAATTGTGAAGTTAGGCACACTGCCAGAATGATGGTTTCTAAGCATAAGGCAGGGACCGAGGCTGTGGATAGCTTGGGTTAGCTATGTTGTATGTGTACGTTGTGGGCGCAAAAGCTGTATTATGAATACTGCATAATATCTTTTATAGGTGGTTAGGGCTCAGACAAACAGCACCGGTGGGTCATGTCAATAATCCTACCTACATGGGAGGCTGAGAACATGAGGATCATAGTTTAAGGCTACCAGAGCAGAGACGTTCTTAAGATTCTATCTTAGTAGAAGCTGGGAATGGTGGCATGCACTTGCCATCCTAGCTATGGGGGAAGCATAAATAGGAGTATCATAGCCCAGGCCCAGATAAAAAGCACGGAGAGGCTGGGGATGAGGAGGCCAGAAAGTATAAAAGTCACAGAAGGGGAGACCAGGTTGCTTCGGACTTCTAAGCAGCCTGAGAATCAAAGATCCAAAGGCAGAGCTGTGAATATTCAGGCACAGATGTAAGTCTAGGGAAATCCATCCTTTTGCAAGAAGGTGAGAGCCCAGTGGCTCTAAAGACAGCCAGGAGCAGCAGGGCCAGCTTTGCTCCTGCAGCACAGAGAGAAACCCGCCAGGTCAGATCAGTATCGGAGTACAGAGACCAGTGCTGGTACAACTCCTCCCTCCCAGCTGGTCATGGGCAGTGGGCTGCTGGTGAGGAGGGCTCCAGGGACCTGCCACTCTAATGCAGCTGTCACAGGGACCCTGTGGCTGCAGCTGACAGGGTGCACACCCTATATCCATACACTGGGGCCAGACATAGGGCAGGTCTTCATCCTCAGCCTAGAGACATGGGGAGAGGGGAAGAAGGGAGAGAAAAGAATGGAGGTGGAAGGGAAGGAGTGCCCACTCCAGAATAAAAGCCCACACCAATCCCTTTCAACCCAATATGGGTCCCCTGCCCAAAAACCAGGGCCCTGGATGGTGAATGTCTTGGGCTTCTCTGCCGTGGGATCCTATGTCTGCATGCCCTGCAAGCCCCTGTCCTCTGCCACTGTCTGCTTCTCAGGACAAGGCCAGTGGAATCCCTTCCTGTTCTAACAGCCCTGAACACCTGTGTCCTCCAGCAAGAAGGACCTTTCAGAACTCAGTTTCTCAGCTAAACATCCACCTCATGTCTAATCACTTCCTGCCTTCTGGGCATCAATACCACTCTCGATTGTCATCTAGTGATCTGGCTTCTCTGGAGTGAGAGCTGCTCATTCCTGCCAGACTCTTTCCTTCCTTCCCTCCTTTCCTTTCCTCCCTCCCTACTTCCCTACTTCCTTCCCTCCCTCCCTCTCTCCTTCCTTCCCTCCTTCCCTTCTTCCCTCCTTTACTCACTCACAATATTGATATCTCTCCTGCTCAGTTACTGAGTGAGGTTTTGGGTCTCTCATGTTGTATAAAACTATTTTTTCATCGTCCTGGACTTCTGACAAGTGAGACTAAGAGACATTAATCTGACGATTCATGAATGTGTTAAGTATCCATCAAGAGGCTCTCAAATTCAAGGGCATGCTCTGGCAAAGGCTGTAACAGAGTCAGACCCAGGATAGGAGGCATAGCAGGAGAAAAGATTCTAGCCTGAAGAACATGTGTGAAGGTTCTGTGGTAGAGGAAGCTGGTAGAAAAGCCAGGAAAATGCCACAGCTAAGGTTGAAGGAGAGTCTCAAGGGTAGCGGTGGGTGGGAGGGGAAAGTTGGGATGACATGAGAAAGGAGTTGCGGTTAGGGGAAGACCATGCAGGCCTTAGAATTTGAGAGATTCTGGTCTTGACCCTCGGTACCAAGGAAAGCCATATGAGGTGTCACCCAAGGGGTAACTTGACGAGAGTCATATTTTGGAATGATAACGTGGGCTGCTGTGGGACTGATGGGGGTCAGGGACATGGGGGAACAAGGAGACCAGTGGAAGGGACACAGAGCAATCATTCCAGTGAAAAGGATTCTGGAGGCCGGATGAGGACGGCGCCACAGAGGTAGCAGGAATGGTGGATCAAACTGGAGATGCATTTGGGACAGCTCGTAACGTGCATGGCTGTCCCATTGCTGTTTGCACATTACTCCAGAATTTCACAGCTGAAAGCAACAGGTGCCTCTTCTTCTCCCAGGGGACCCCCTGGGGGCCTCCTGGACTATGGCCTCTGGGACAGGGCATAAGTAGCAGTGAATTTGGATTTCCCAGGGATTCTGATGAGTAGCTCACATTTCTGAGCTCTGATTGTAGGGGTAAGCACCAGGGTGCTCACACACCTGGCAGGGAGCCCAACCTGCCTGGAAACCCCTCAGTCAGGAATCCCCACCTTCTCCAGATCCAGGACACTACCTCTCCTGGAAGCCAGGGACCTCTCCCCAGCCTTCACGTACCACTCTCCACAGCTACATCTTGTC